CACGTGGACATCCGCGGCATCCAGTGCTCGTGCCGCTACGGCGCTACTGGCATGGCTTTAGTCGGCTGATGACGGCCCCGGTCTCAACTTCAACTTCCCTCCTTCACAGCACTCATCCTATTTCTCCGAAGCAACCGCTGCAGCTTCTGCGGGCCCCGCGACGCGTCAATGGACGGGACCGAAGGCCAGCAGCATCGGCCGGGCGCCGCTGCCCGTCGCCAGGCTCTAAATGTTTGTCGATCCCGTCTCCTATCTGTCTCGTTCAGACGCTGATTTGCTGCCTCGGAGAAAAGGCCTGCGATGCCTGCAGAAGACGCAAGACAAAGTGCGACGAGGCCCGCCCGTCATGTGGGCGGTGTGGGAGGTTGGGGCTGGAGTGCTCTTACGTCGACACTGTCGCGTACAAGTGCGTTGTAACAGTATCTGCCGTTGAACGAGGCTGACCCTGGCATAGGAAGAACCTCTCGGTGGCCGAGCTGGCCGACACCCTCAAAAGAATGGAAGAGAGACTTGAGCACCTAACCGATCTAGTCGAAAAGGGCCAGCAACAGCCGCAACAGCAACCGCCGGAGATCTGTCCACAGCAGGGCGTCATGCCTCCTGTTGCCACCACTCCAGCTGCCCATACACTCTCCCGCCATGCTGGTCTCACTCCTCGAGCCGCCCTGGGAGACGAAGTTCTTGGAGCGTCCCCTCGCTTTCTCGACACCGGACGCGTCAGGGAGGAGCTCTCTCTGACCCAGAAGCACTGCGTCGCCCCCCAGCACCTGCTCGCATGGTCGTGCTCCCCCCTCACGCTGACCGAATCTCAGCTTCTGTACCCGATGGAGCTTGAGACCAAACGCCCCGCGCTCCCACGGTTCACGGCACCGCCGCGAGGTCTCATGCAGTACATCTCGGACCCCGGCTGGGCCTCGCACCTGGCGCTCAGCGATATCGACTTCCTCGCTGGCTACTACTTTGCACACTTCCACCCCAGCTGTCTAGTCCTGAGCGAAACGACCTTCTACAACCATCACCTGAATATGACGTTGAGGGGGACTCTGCCGGACGATGTTGACACATGCATTGTCCTCCTCGTGTGTGCCCTGGGATCCATCGCCGCGTACCACGATGGCCACCAGGACTGGGGCCAGGCTGAGGAGTTGGACGTTGGTCTCGGGCTATTCAACGCTGCCCGGGAGAAGTTCTTCAATGTTGAGACGGCAGACTGGCCCAGCGTTCAGTGCCTTCTTCTCATGGGGTTGGTCTCTCAGACCGTGGTACTCGACAGTCGCTGACTCGCTCCCAGCATGTTCTACTCCGCCAAGCTGCGCATTTACGATGCCTGGCACGTCACCCATCGCGCCTGCAGCACGATTCTGATTCTTGCTCCGTTGTAGGTTGCCCACTATGACTTGGTCACCGTCTCGTGCTGATGATTTGACCATGTAGACAGACCACATTGGCTGCTCACCAATGCCAATTGTTCTGGATTGCTTACCTCCAAGAAAGGTGAGATATCTGGATCCTGGCCAAAGGCTCGTGATCTCTTAACTGACGACCTACAGTCAGCTTCTGGCCGAGTTTGATTTGCCACCAAGCGGCCTCGGCAAGCTGGCCAACTCGATTCCCCTACCTCTCGTCCCAAACGCAGACACGGACCCCCGTCTTGCCCAGTACCAGTTCTTCTTTCTGGCTCTCATCGCTATTCGGAAGCTTCTCAACAGGGTGCTCCTCTATCTCTACAGTCGGGGTGAGTCGCCCCCTTAACAGCCCACATGAACGTGCTGACTCCCCGCAGATCAGTCCGACGATTCTCACTCCGTCAGCTCGCCATCAGCAGATACACCAGCAATCTTTCTCTCTGCCTCGCATTCGATGATTGCCGAACTCGACCGACAACTCGAAGAGTGGCGCGCCTGCCTCCCTCCGAGCCTCCACTTTGACCAATACTCTCCCTCTGAGGAAGGCGCGCCACCTGGGCCTCACGAGCCACGCCCAACAGAGGAGAGGCTACGCGGCTTTCTCAAAGCTCGATACTTTGCCGCAAAGTCCATCATCTACAGACCCTTCATTTACCGTGCGCTACACGCGACTCACGCCATACTTCTATCCGACGAGGAAAAGACGGGTGCACGTACAGCCGTCGGCGCCGCCTTCATGAACGCCGTGTCCAGTGGGCTACTCCATGAGCCACTGACACTACTCTATCACCCGATAAATGTCTGGAGAAGGTAAAGATGCCCCATATACATGGTAGTAGCGTCTGTGCTGATATCTGCAGCTTCTTCGCCCTGGCCATCCAGGTCTCCCTCGTCTCGAGCAGTGAAGCAGCTGCGTTCGCCCTCCCGAATCACTGGGAGCTGGTCGAGACAATGCGCCAGCGCGGAGCTACCGTCGGCAGTCTCATGTCTCCGACCGTGGCACGGGATGATGAGATACTGCGTATTCTCTCTTGAGCTGCCTGTGAGCAACGCCAGTCATCAGAGAGCTTTCACAATGGAGTGCCCATGATACCGGATGCCTCGCGATTGGCCCTTCGAACCGTTGACATCAATCTGGAAGGCATTTGTCAAATCGGGTGATATCCCCGACGCAGGCCCTCCAACCGCATGACCTGAACAGCATCCTTGCAGTCGTCTGTCACTTACTTGGTTGTTACCCCTCTTTCCTCCTGGCCTGACTCTTGGCTCTCACGTTGGGCCCACGGGGTCACTTGAGATTTGTGGTCAGAAGGCCAACTGGGAGCCCAATCAGCAATGCTCTGCAATTCAGAACGGAAGCAATGACGTTAAAGAGCGGTTGCTTCTGGTGCAGTATCTGATCTCAACGTCCTGTCCTTTCGAGAGCACTCTCGGTTCATGAGCTGCCATCGCCAACAAACGCGTGTATGGATGCGGGGCAAGTCCTCGGGGAAACCTGCAGCACATGAACCCACGTGCGTGGGACCATGGTGCGCCAACGAGGGGCGAGGTGGCTGCATGCTCAGCTGGGCGCTTCTCGCAGGCCAACCCCCTCCATTGATATTACAGGTACCCTCTCGCCGTTCGGGCGCTCTCGGCTGAGGAGGAGAGTTTCCTTTCAGATACCCCTCATCTCTTCCTCGTCAAACCTATCGGCATCATGGGCTCCTCTGGAAACAACGTCGCCCTCGTCTTTGGTGCCAGCGGCATCTCCGGATGGGCCGTGTGCAACAACTTGCTGTCGTATCCGACTCGTACAACCTTCTCTCGCGTCGTTGGCCTCTCAAACCGTCCCGTCGACAGAGCAACGAGCTTGTTCCCAGACGATGAGCCGCGACTGGAGTTTTACAGTGGCGTCAATCTCCGTGGGGATCTGGCAACTGTCAAGAAACAGCTCGAGGCATCGGTACCAGACGTACAGAATGTCACACATGTCTACTACCTCGGTGAGCAACGAGTTAGCCTTTCTCTCCAGCCCACGTACTAATTCATCCCAGCCTACTCGAATGCTTCAGCGTACACCGTCGATGTAATGGACATTCGTGACATCAACGTTACCATGACGAGCAATGCCGTCCGTGCCGTCGACGAGATCTGCACCAGTCTCAAGTTCTTCGTGCTCCAGACAGGCACAAACGTGAGGACCCCGCTACCGCTTCTAGACTGAGACTGACTTCTGCAGAACTACGGCGTGGCCGTCTTCGAGTAGGTAACAACTATGATGCCTTTCTGTCCGGTGCTGACACCTCATCATAGTCATCCGGAGCACATTGAAATCAAACCGCCTCTGAAGGAGTCGCAGCCTCGAATCCCGTCTCCGTACGGCGACTCGATTTTCTACTATAACCAAGTCGATCTGATCAGAGAGGTGCAGGCGGGCAAGTCCTGGAAGTGGTGCGAAGTTCGTCCCGACTGCATCAACGGTGAGTCCACGATTCTCAGTCACTATCCTCCAAGGATGCCAAAGACCTTGCTGACAACTCGGCCAGGCTTCACCCCCAATGCGACCTCGATGACTTGGCTCGAGCCACTGGCCCTCTACCTTTCATTATGGCGATACGTCAACGGCTCCGGGGCCCAAATCCCGCACATTGGCACCATGGAGAACTGGCTGTTCACCTACACCGAGTCCACGCAGGACATCATCGCTCGGTCGGAGATCTACCTTTCCGTCGTCAAGCCCGACGAAGCCAACAATGAAGCCTTCAACACCGCCGACTACTCCACAGCGGTGTCGAACTCGGTTCGCTGGCCACTGATGGCCGAGTACTTTGGGCTCAAAGGCGTTGGTCCCAGCGACAGTAAGCTGCTCGCTCCACTGAATGAGCATGCGCTGACAAGCCCTCGCAGCCATCTCCCCCGCTGAACAGTGGTGGAAAGACCACCAGGACGAGTACAAAAAGATGTGCGCCGAGCATGCGCTGGCGGGGGCCGAGATTCCCCACGAGACTTGGATCTTTCTTACGGCGTGGTCTGTCCTTCTGAACCGCAGTAGGGGACTGTCGCTGGAAAAGATCCGGGCCCTCGGATTCTCGGAGGAGATGCCCCCTGGCCATGGAACATCCATCGTGCTGGATCGCCTGGTCGCAGCGAAGAGGATCCCGTCCAGAGAGGTCATGAAGAAGTGGGCGTAAGAGCTGCAACGAATAGCACAGAGCACCACTTCTGGTTCACCTCAACAGATTTGTTCATCCCCCCGTTGCGCCGTAAAGGCATGCACATTTCTGGAGCAAAACGTCAACGGATCAAGTCAAGATTCAACCTACCTTATATATCTTGTCAACTGCCGTGAACTACCTGCCCCGCCTGCTCAAGTGGACCAAAAAGGTGGTTGCGGTCTTCCTTGAACACCCTCCTATGCCTCGTACTGGAATCGAACCAGTGATCTCATCATTGCTGTTACTAGTGATGCGCTTTACCACTGAGCCAACGAGGCTGTTTGATGTCTGGCGGGTAGAGGGGCCTGCTCTCGGAACTGCCGCATTCGGGTGAGGCAAAGGGGACAAAAGCAAAAGTAACATCACAACATCCGCTCGATGTTGTGGACAGGTGAGCTGCCTCGTACTGGAATCGAACCAGTGATCTCATCATGTCTTCTACTAGTGATGCGCTTTACCACTGAGCCAACGAGGCATGTCATGATGAACAACCCCTGTTCGCCCCTCTCCAACGAATTCTGCCGAAGAAGACTGCAAGAGAGCAAAAAACAAAACGAAAGATCACCAACTGGAGCTGATGATGTTGCGAGTTGCCTCGTACTGGAATCGAACCAGTGATCTCATCATTACTAGTGATGCGCTTTACCACTGAGCCAACGAGGCTTGTTCATGTCGAGCGACCGAAATTAATCGCTCAGATGGGTCGGATGGGGCAGAGGGTCCGGGGCTTCATGACGGTGCGGTGAGGCGGGATTTGGTCCTTCAAAAGTGAGATGAGATGTTCTCATGATATGTTTGGGCAGCGGTCGAGGCTACGAAAGTCTCGCAGTATTGCCCTCGGCAGGGATGTTTGAGGCTTGTATGTTGCCCCTATTGAGACTGGTCACAGCCGACTGAGTCGATAGATCGTAAACACCGACGGATGCTGGTATCGGTCTTTCAACACTTGCATATCATGATTTCAAATTTGTGAAGATCATCGATGTTACGATTCTCAGTGGCGACTTTGAACTGCCAACGCTCCTTGAGTTCGTCAAAACACGTTCCCGTCTGAGCTTGCCCTGAGAGCACACATAGGATACTGGCGTGTCAACATCTTCGATGGAGTGTCGTCGAGCTCAAGTCCATCTAAACAGATTCATACACTGGCAACTTCTGTTCTTCCGGTGATACTCCTCCACTTATGCCGGCTCCGCAATGTGCACGTTGAGGAAGCCGTTACCCCATGCGGGCTGTGAGACGGATGATGTCAGTAGTGATCTCTGAGAAGAAGAATACGAAGTGGAGAAATGAGGCCAGCAGAGCTTACGTGGTCGCCCTGAACGGTGTTATCCGCCCTCCAGCAGTTATCCATAACGTGACCCGCGGCGCGAGCGACATCGTTACACCACGACTCGGTGAAGGTGCCGCTGTTGCCACCGCGGACACCGACAATCTGCGCCCTGCCAATGGTGCAGAAAGTCGACTGCCTCTCGACGCGGCACATGCGACCGCTGCTGGCAAGGTAGTTGATGCAGGAAACAGCATCGGGGACGTAGGCCGGGCCGATGGACAAGTGGTTGCACCGCAGGCGCTTCTCCAGGGAGCGCTTGTCAGCGGGAGAGCCGACGCCGTTAGCTTCGGCAGCCTTGAGGGCCTCCTCGACAGACAGTGCGGGCTCGCCCTTGCCGATGGCGATGGCCCACTCCTCGAAGGAGAAGGGGGCATCGCGCTGAGCCATGGTGTTGGCGGCCTCGGCGGCTGGGAGGGCGGCAGCCAGGGGCGCGGCCAGGAGGGGGAGAAGGGCGGAGAACTTCATGTTGAAGGTGGAGGAGTGAAGAAGATGGTAGGCAGCCGCTTGAGTCGTGAGGGAAAGTATGTAAAAGTCGGACGTTGGTCAGTCGACTTTATAGTCTTTCCAGCTTACTCTCTTCACCCGCAACCTCCGGCGACTCTGCCTTTAGCCTACGCAGCTACATCAGTAGTCTCTGAGGCTATCCACTTGGCTGACGGACAACATCGTAATTCAGGCACCACGATGAACAGAACCCCGCTGCATTTCTGCATCCAAGCCCCGTAAACAGTCATGATGACGCTGATCCGGCTCGGTTCTTCGATCAGAGCCGCTGCCTGCGTCCACTGCCAAGACAAATGTAGCAGGAGGCTCGGACTATCCCCTGCTCCCTTCTGCAACCACGGCTGCTAGGTGCAGTTGTGGAACCGGGCTGTGCCGCACTTTTCCGGGGTTATGATCCTTCGCCGAGTCGACCGAGAAACAGCGGAGCCATTCTGCAAGATGGCCAAGCGGTGTAGCTGTTCTCCGCGGTCCTGAGTGTTTGCCATGGCCCCGGCATACTCCTCGCACTACGATCCGTGCCGACTTGGCCAGAATACGGATGCACAGAGAGAGACCCCTGCCCTTTCTGTATTCTTCCATCGGAAACCAAATGTCCATATTCCGCCCCGCACGTCATACCGATCGGTAAGTCCCGGCAACCGTGTGGCCCTTCGGTGATGATGTTTGCTGGATATACTCCTGTCATTCACCGAAAGTGAGGCACTTCGATGGCATGGTTTGCTCGCTAAAGGGTCTGGCTAACGGCTTTGGAGCGGACTGAAACGATTATTTTCCGATTGGAAGATATCACCAAAGCCAGGCAGGCCGTAGATTACAGAAGCAAGGTAATGGCATTTTCTTCCCATAGCTCAAACAGGCCTAGAAGAAGCAAATGTCCTACTTCCGAGAAGATTTAGCCTACAGGGTCGCTGGAATGGTTTTTATATCAGGATGAAAGTTCCAGTAGACATTCTAAACAGGAAAGACTAGCCGATACAGTATGGACCCAAGCAGACTTCGTGTATCCTCACGAAACTCCTGAACATTTTTCCAGGCTGTACACGTCTCAGGCAACTGTATACGCTTACTATAAGATCTTCATCTTGGCTATAGAGCTTCTAATCGAAATAGGAATTTTCTAGGATGCTACTCGCTGTACTTTGCCGTCAACCACAGCCACATTGCGTGTCAGCCACTTGTGCTCGCGGATCGTCAACAGGGCATAGAGCTTCACCAAGGGCATATAGAAGGCAACAGCTACAAAAAGCGGTAAGATCTGCCAGTCCCTCGGGACGCGCCACAGGTGCGGTAGAATCTTGACCGCCGTCTTGACATGCCTCCAGAACAACATGGTTGCCACCATCTTCCAGCGCCCTTGGGCGATGCCGAGCGTCAGCACAACGATGTTGGCAAGATGTACGAACGGCGCAATCGACCTCATGAACAGTACGATGGCCAGGTACGGATGGCTCCACCAGACCCAGCCCTCGTAGAGGGCGCGCAAATCGCTACGAAGGCTGTTGCGGCTCCAGCGCACGTGCTGCTTGATGAACCCCGAGAAGTCCGGCTTGAACGTCGAGTGGATGTGGGCGTTGAGCTGGACATAGGTGCTGTAGCCACTCTGTAGCACCAGGCAGGTGTAGCGCTTGTCGTCGCCGCTCATGCACTGCGTGCCCATGAAGGTCTCGTTCAGGAACCGCTCGCGCAGCGCCTGTAGCAGCTTGGTGCGGTAGACAGCGGTGCGACCGGACAGGCAACTGGAGGCGCGGCCCCAGCGTGTGGTGGCCGGGATTTCGTCGGTATAGCGGATGTCCAGATATATATCGGCGATGCGCTCCCACAAGGCGGCCGCGCGGCCGCCCGTGGGGTACATGTGCTGCCGCGTGCCGACGCCGCCAATGTTGTGATCGGCGAAGGGCATCTTGACCTTCCGGAGCACATCCGGCTCCCAGATGACATCGCTGTCGACCAGGGCGACGAGGTTGGTGTTGGTCGCTTCGACGCCGGCCGCCAGTGCGGCGCGTTTGCCGGGGATGTCGATGGGAATCACCTCGACCTCGGGGTACTCGCGCGCAATCGTCATGCAGCGTGTGTCGGTCACGTCGATTCACGGCGATGATGCGCTCCGGGGCGTTGGCGATCCACGACTCGATCGCGAGGCGGAACAACACCGGATCCTCATTGTAGACGGGCGTGACAATCGTCGCTGTGGTGTCGTAGTTGTTCTCGATTGGCTGGTAAAACAGCGCCGGGATGCGTGTAATGAGCCACGTATTGCGCAGCATGTCACAAATGCAGATGCGAGCAGACGATGGACAGGTGATGTTGGGCGTGGGAGCTCTCGCCAGGCGATCTTCTTGGTCAAGAGCTGTTCATGTATAAGTGTTCATTTGGCTGATAGCCGAGATATCCCGAAGTCTTCAGCATCCATGGATCTCCGGCACTCAATCAACACACCGCACCTCAGCCAGTGGACTGACTCGTGGGTAGAATACATATGGCGCGTTTAAGCTTAAAACGATACGTGCTGTTGTATCAAGGCGTAGCATTCGTGCGCTTTGGTGTCTCTGCTAAGCTTGAAGAGATATGAATTCCGTCGGATTGTGTCACACGGATCTTGACACCGACATGGGAACGAGTCAGGACAAACTCTAATTCCATGAAATCCGGGGGATGAACGGTACTCGCTCTCGGTTTCGGGCCCCGGATCTCCGGTGCACGCTCAAACCCATACCAATGCGTCAATACCCCTGGGATGTCTCCTCGGCTACATGTGGTTACATGTACCGTGTACAGTACATGAGGCATTCATAGTAATATCGAGTCATGTGTGGTTTGTGGGCATTGGATATTCATGTCACAAACACTAGTTGGTCAATAACCGGGTCAAAGCCAGGTCACCGCCGATTTACAAGTCAACCTACTTGACGTCCTTTATATCACAACACCAACATCACCGTGCCGTCTGGTGCCCGATGTCCGCTCAATCACAAACCCAACATTTTCACCAACGGCCTCATCAACATCCTTATCTCATTCAGTTCCGCCGGGTCTGTGAAGAGAGACAACCATGGCACGCATCGTCATCGTCGGCTCAGGGGTTGTCGGTCAGGCAACTGGCAAGGGCTTTGCAAAGAAGGGGCATTCAGTTCGTTTCGTCGATAATGATTCCGCCACCATCGAAAAGCTCCTCAGTACCGGCTTGGTCGCCATGACGGCGTTTCAAGTTGACTGGAATGATGTCGACATTGTCATGCTGGCTGTGCGGACCCCCACAGCCGATGGCCGCGTCGTTCTCGATCACATCGAGGCCGCTGCGCTCGACGTCGGGCGCGGACTCGCGACGACGAACAACTTCGTGACGGTGGTTGTGCGTAGCACCGTGCCGCCCTCGACGACAGAGAAGCGCATCACGCCTATTCTGGAGCGCGCCTCCGGCAAGCGTCTTGGCCAGGGCTTCGGCGTGGCCATGAACCCCGAATTCCTGCGCGCCGTCAGCAACGAGCAGGACTTTGCGCAGCCCTGGATCACGGTCGTCGGCGCAAAGGACCCACGCACGACGGCGATCATGGACAAGCTGTACCAGCCATTCGGCGCCCCGGTCCTCCACTGCGCGCTGGCCGAGGCCGAGATGATCAAGTATGTCAGCAACACCTACA